CAGAGGAGCTCAAAAACTGCATGTAGGAAGAACTTAGTCAATAGACAACTCAGATGCAATACATAAATTGAGCAAACTAAAATGGACTATTTCAGGACCAATGAAGCATACTATAAAATTCATCCCATCACTCTAGGGTAGAAAATATTGTGGTGCACTTCCAACATCTTCTGCCGCGGAAGTGTCATGTCATTAACTTGCATCCACAGAAGGCTAGAGTTATGCTTTACCACAAAGTTTCATTGACATCGTGCTTCCAAAAGAGCGAAAATAATAATCCAGGTTGTAGACCGGATATTAGGTAGAAAATTACACCAAGCTAAATGTTAGTTGGTCTACTGAAGGTGAATCAAAGACTCAGCTGCACAACATAGGAACAAATAATTCGAGGGGAGCTGAGAACTAGGAAGCCAGAATTAGGCTTTTGTGATAATTATATCAATATGATGCGCTATTTTAAAATGCGAGAAAATAGTGTGCTTAGTCACCGTCCGTGCGTATTGGAGAAAATAATTTAGCGCAACATTGATATATATGGACCAAATTATTCTAATCAAACCAAATCAGTTATTCCTTTATGGTGGAAATATCAAGGAAATTACTCGAATAAAGGACGACGACCAGAGTCTTTGATAGCATTAGAGGAATATGGATGTGTTTCAAATGGTATATGGAGAAATAGGACAAAAGATTATATCGACATTTCACACAAAAGGAAGCAACTCACTCCTTTTCGAACGCATAGTGAAATTTCAGCTCGCATCCGAAGATTTAACTGAAATATTGCAATAAGGTTTTCCATCAAAATCACATCGAAGCTTTGATTGGAGTATAAATTGAGAAATCGCAATTTATTAGTGGGAAAAATCTTAAAGAGCATCCAACATTTGGCATGATATTAATGACAAGTAGTAACCTGGAGTTACCAAACAATCCGAGAGATTGGCAGAGCACAATACAACCATCAAAGTTGGAATTAAATGTTTCTATTAAAAAGCATCGCAGTGATACGAAACAGCCGAGAGAGCAGTAGGTAAATGAATAACAAATGGCTAACAGCTCTACTCAATTATCCAAAATTATTAGATATAACTTCAAATTTCTGCAAAACCACATAAGTTTATAAATTATAGGCAATAAATTAGTGCTGAGAGAATAGCAGGGACTAAAATTTATAGACCACAAATATTAATTGGATCAAAACATCACTGGATTACAAAGATGTATTGCATGCACACAGCAACATATACCAGTTCACTAAACGCAGCGCAAATTGAAAGCACTCTGATGTGATTACGTAAAAGACTTTAAGGTCATGGTTTTCAA